ATGTGGTGTGCACCATGTCTGTGCCCATGCCTGTGTGCGACCGGGTGGAGGCAAGTTTCCTGACCACAGTCCTAGTTTCTTTTGTGGAGGCGCCCTCTAGAGGCCGCAGGAAAGATTGCACCATGAAATGCCACCTTGCCTGAGGACTCACCCATGTTCATGTTATGGAAATTTTTCAGAAAATATTTTATTTGGGATTTGAAAAGTTGGGACACCAAAATATTAAGGCACAGAAACCCCATTCTGGCCAGACTCCTGAGGGCAGGGTCCCTGTGCAGGCGCCTGGGCACAGTAGCAAGTCCCACACACAGGCTTGTCCTGAGTCAAGGACAGAGACCAAGGTGCCACCCTGCTTTTGCCTCCCCCCCGGGTCTACTCTGCTCTCGGGGGCCCCTTCTCTGCAGTGTCCTGCCAGGCGGCACTGAGGACGGACTGTCTGTCCGGGGGTTAGTGAGGTGCTGCCTTCTCCCAGGCTCACACAGCGTGGGCTCCTACAGGTGCTCCCTGAGGCCCGGTGGGGGGTGAGGGCCAAGAAGGGGCACATTACCTGGTGTCCATGGGTCCTGACACCAAGGGCGACCTGGCAGGTGATGAGTGACCCATCAGGTGATGGGCAGCCCACGGGTGCTTCTCTGCACTGACCATCACCCCTGTCGACAACCTGCGTCCACCCTGGACACGGGGCCACGGCCCAGCCAGTGACCAGCGGCTCCAGCTCCAGGTTAACCTCTGCCTTTGATGTGGCACAGAGGCTGCGAACCCCTTCTTCATAATCAAACCCCCGGCGGGCGAGGGCGCTGCTTCCCAGGGGAAGCAGGTGGAACAGTGGTCATCGCACTCGCCTGTGGGTGTCCTCAACCTCCGCAGCAGCCACCACGGGGAGCGTCCCTGTGGGTGAAGGGTCCCCGCAGAGACCAGCTGTGCCCGGGGCCAGGGTGCAGCATTTTATTTTGTCTTTATTTTTAATATTTGTATTGATTTCAGAGAGGGAGAGAGAGAAACACCACGGATGGGAGAGATCACTGATGGGCTGTCTCCTGCGCCCCCCTGGGGATCAAGCCCACAGCCTGGCATGTGCTCTGACCGGGAAGCCATGACCTCTTGGTCCTAGGTCAACGATCAACCACTGAGCCACTCCAGCCGGGAAGGGGGGTGGGGTGGAGCGGGAGGAGGGGAGCCCAGCAGGGGAATTGGGCATGGTACTGGGTCAGACAAGGCCGGTGTGTGCTGTGTGGGTGAGCAGAGGGGGATGTGGCGAGGGCAGGATGACCCCAAGAAAGCCCCCCAGGCTAGACACCACAGGGAGACACAGCAGGCCCCTGGGATGTGGGCAAGGGAAGTGGAGACAGTGAGGTGACGTCCCAGTGCCCCACGCCCTTGCAGGAGGCGGCTGCTGCTTCAGGACTGGTGGCCGCTATGTCTTAGCACAGCCGGTAGGGTCACCGTCACCTTTAGGGTCACCTGTCACCTGTGGGGTCACCTGTTGCCTGTAGAGTCACTGCCACCTGATAGGTCACCTGTCACCTGTAAGGTCACCACTGCCTGTAGGGTCACCGGTCACCTGTAGGGTCACTGTCGCCTATGGGTCATCTATCACCTGACAGGTCGCCTGTGGCGTTAGGAGGCCATGGACACTGGGTGTGGACGCTGACAAGGCAAATCTTGCAACAAACATGGGGACGCACGATGGTCTGAAACGCCATGTTCCTGGGACACAGAAGAGAGGGCGACGGATGCCAGATCTTCCAGGCTGCGCACCTTCTCCCACACCCAGTTAGCACGGGAAACTCGGCATGGGGGTGGCACAGGGTCATTTAACTGTCATCGTCATAACTATAATGTCTGCAACCGCTTCGTGCGTTTATTCACATGTACAACATGCTCATAAACACTGAAATGAGACAAACCCAAAACCAGCAGGAGCCACCCTGGCTGGTGCTCAGTGGTTAGAGCGTTGGCCTGCGAACCAAAGGATCTCATACCTGGGTTGCATGCTCAATCCCTGGCCCGGGTCGGGGCACATGCAGGAGGCAACCAATAGGTGTCTCTCTCATCAATGTTTCTCTCTCCCTCCCCCACTCCCTCCCTTCCATTCTCTAAAAATCTATGGAGCCCTAGCTGGTTTGGCTCAGTGGATAGAGCGTCAGCCTATGGACTGAAGGGTCCCAGGTTCAAGTCCAGTCAGGGCATATGCCTGGGTTGTCGGCTTGATCCCCAGTGTGGGGCGTGCAGGAGGCAGCCAATCAATGGTTCTCTCTCATCATTGATGTTTCTCTCTCTCTCCCTTCCTCTGAAATCAATACAAATATATCTTTTTAAAAATAATAAAAATAAAAGGAAAAGGAGAAAATATCCTCAGGTGCGGGCGGTGTGTAGGGTTCACCAGCCTCGTGCGGACACCAGGTCTGAGGCCTATGTGACTGCAGGGCCAGGTGGGTGGGAGCGGAGCTTGCACCCCACTTCACACTGAGGCTTGGGAACATACACGTGGCCCAGGGCCCATGTTCTCAACTGTGGAAGGACAGTGACACGGCCAGGCTTGGACACAGCCGTGGTCACAGCACCGCCCAAGCCGCCCGAGCCCCACGTGCCCACAGAAGCCATGCTCCCCTGCTCCGCCCGCCCCCTGGGCTGAAGGACAGGGTGTCAGTGGTGTCCCTGGGAAAGGACCCAGCGTGTGTCCGGGACAGGCAGTGTTTCTGAGGTGGGCAGTGGACTTGGGGCACAGCCTGCCCTGACCCCAGTGCACCCAGGCCACTTTCTCGGGCGGGAAGGGTTATGGAGCCATCATCGGAGCCACCTGGGCCACTCACTGTACGATGGCTCCTCGTGAAACAACTTTTATGACATAAAAGCTGGATTTCATTTGTTCACTGAGAATGAATGCACTCAAGCGAAAGCCTGGGCGCCCAGGGGCAGAGGCCGTCACTGCTGCCGCAGTGTGAGGTCACCGTGCCCACCGAGGCCCTTGCGGGCGTCAGGAGCAGCAGCATCAGAGGCCAGGATAGGCCGTGCCCAGGGGACCCTCTGTGGATGGCCAGTTCCAGGGGGACCTGTGAGGGCTAGAGGGACAGGGAGGATGAGGGCTGAACCACGGAGGCTGGGCACCCTGGGTGACGTGCTTGGTGGCTGACACCCCCCACATCCACTCCTGCTCTTGTCCCCGCCTCCTCAGCCACCTCAGGGCTGAGAGTGCCCTGGAGGCAGTGGGGACGGATGTGCGTCATGTCCCTGAAGCACACACTGGGTCTGTCTGGTGTATTTACACTCCCCTCCCCCCGCCCAGGCACAGCTTAACGCGTGGTGAGCCCGTGCACAGGCTGGGAGCGGGGACCTGCCCACACCTCTTCCCCCCACGCGGCCAGTCATGCAATTCCTGTCACTCTTTTCTTCAGAAGAAATGACATGAGCAGCCACCGTGTGGGGTTCGGGGACGAAGGTGCCAGCACACCACGGGGCGCCCGCTGCCGGGCGCAGCCATGGCTCTGGCTCTCACCTGACCTGGCAACAGGAGGAGGCACTTCCAGCTGACAGGAAGCCATGCTGGCCTGTCACCTGGCTCTCAGGAGCGCTCTGATCCGGGAAGAGTCCCCCAGGGACCTGGCTGCCTATGGACAATGGCAAGTTCTGGGAAAGCCCTCTCGGCAAACCCTCGAGGCGGAAGCTAGCAGCCTGGACATCCGGGTAGAATACTGAACCTTCGGGCCTGGGCTCCACCAGCCAGCTGTCCAAGGGAGGGCCTCACGGAGCCGGCACGATGGAGCCTGGGGACCATGCAGGCCCTCCGTCCGCACACGGTACCCATGAGACTTTCCCACACCAGGGCGAGCGCGGAGGCGGGGCTGACACACCCCTCGCTGACTGTCCTGACAGCCCCAAGCAGGGGGCAGACGCCCGGAAGACATCGTGCCCGCTCTGCGTTGACCGTTGCAGACTGGAGTCGGGCCAGCATGGCGGGCAATGCTCGCTGAGCCGCTGGTCAGCTATGGGCCAAATGGCCCATCAGAGCCCAGTCCCATGTGCTCCTGTGGGCAGAGCCAGGCGGGGCGGAGGTGGAGGGCCCGCCCAGCAGGTGTGGGGAAGGTCTGCCCTGGGCAAGCCCGCCCGACCAGGTGTGACACATGAACTTAGATCCCACCCACTAAAACCTCATTTTGGCAAAAAGAAGATCAGGTGTGACCGCTCGCCCCTGTCACGGCCCCACCATCTCCAGGCTACGAACGATGTTTGAGGGTTTCCCGTGTCCTGGTTTTGAGGGGCCCTGGGGGGAGGGTACAGGGATCTCTAGGAGGACTGTTTGTGCAACTTCCTGTGAACATGTGTGCACTTCACAAGTATGGTTGGAGGTTTTGCAGCCTTTAATCCTCCTAACACAGGCCAAAAGCTCTGTCCCCAAGCGGGAGGTAGAGGGCAGCACAGCGAACCCCGCGGTGCCCACCTGAGCCCGGCAAGTGTGGCTGCACCTCTGCTGCATGGCTGCGCCCTGCTCACCTGTGAGTGGACCCACCGAGTGGCCCTGGGCCTCCCCAGCTCACTGAGCCAGCCCCGCGGTGGGCAGTGAGGCCCACGGCTGCACGAACACTTGTCATGTTGGGGCTTGAAGCACGCAGGGCCCTGACACCGCCCCCGACACTGCTCCAGGGTGACCGGCCCCCAGGGACAGTGAGGGACAAGTGCCAGGAAACCTTCCCTCCTGCTGCCCCCAAAAGGCCCCCGAGTGACAGGGCGAGTCCCACTCAGGACAGATCCACCTGGACCTGCATGTGCCACCCCCTCGCAGCGAGGCCCGGGCCTCAGGATGCAGCCGACAGGCCACGGCCAGGACACTCGGGAGATGTCCCTGCACCGGCCCGTGTCCCAGGAGGCTGCTGGCCTCACGCTGTTCAGCGGGGCGTTACCTCAGAATCCAGCCTTTTGCCCCAAAACATCCACCCCCAGAACTGAGACGGCACACGGCTGAGACCATGCGGGCTGAGGCGGTGAAGGAGGCCGGAGCCGGGTGGTGCTCACAACTTTATTTCCGCGGTGGCGCCCAGGTCAGGTCACCGTGCTGGCCGTTCCCACAAGCACACCCGGCCCCGCCCGCAGCCGCGCCCCCACCCACACAAGAGCAGCGCCCTGTGGCCGCCATATCAAGCCACACGCCACACCAGACGGCGGCACAGGCCAAGCCCAAGTCGCCAGCTCCGCGCCGTGGGTTTGAGTCGCTGGCATTTTTACGTCACATCCACACTTCTCACAATTCCCTGGTTTCCATGGGGGCGAGGAAAAGGCGGGTGGGCAGCAGGCTCTGGTGTTAGCGGAGGTGTCGTCGCCACAGGGGGCAGCTGGGCGCCCCCGACCACAGCCGGGGAGCAAAGCGTTCGTTAGGCAGTGGGTGGTGCAGAGAAAGCACAGAGGCGAGGCTGGCCACACAGGAGCGCAGTGTCCACAAACGAAACAAGCTCGTGCCTGCTGGCGCCCGCGTGCCAGGCAGCCGTCTGCTTCCTCGCACCCTCAACTCGGAGCCCGGGCTGTTTACGGAGCAAAGCTCTGTAGCGCCCCCTGCACAAGCTTCGGGGAGCGGTGATGGGTCGGGAGGAAAGGAAGGACTAGCGCTAATCACAGCACACTTGCCATCGGCCGGTTCTACTCAGAGGTCAGGTTTACAAGCTCCATGACGTGGCCGACAGGAACGGGGCCACGACAGGTGCTGAGGTCTGACCCCGGGACAGCAGGCAGCACCTGCGGCCCCGCTCAGGTGTGACGTGTGTGACCTGGAGTCGCCCACACTCACTACCCTCCGATTCCCAACGCCGGCCCCACGAGGAGCTACCTGCTGCCTATCTATCCGTCACGCCCCTAAAGCTAGCGCTGTGTCAGGGGTTCGCACGGCGGCCGCACCGCCAAGAACAAGCGAGAGCCCCGACCGCTGCCCAGGAATCGCTATCTTAGTGGTGGGCTGCGGCCAGGGCGGGCGCTCACGCCACCGCCCGCTCATCACCTGCCGCCTGACTGGCCGCCCGTCCGCGTCCCGGGGTGAGGAGGTGACGGGGCGGGGAGCAGGCGCCCTACCTATCGCGTGCACACACCACACAGCGCGACGCCGCGGCGGCCGGCGCTCTAGTGCTGCCCCTTGGTCGACTTCTTCTTCTTGGACTCGTCTCTGTGCTTCTGCTTCTTCCTCTTGCCACCTTCTTTGAGTCCTAGGGAAACACGGCTTGTGAAACAATGTGCGGCAGCTGGTCTCCCCCAGCCCCCGGACCCAACCATGTTCAACTGTCCCCACGTTAACAGCACACATGACACAGGAAAGCCACACCTCCTCACGTGCCCATGGCCCACACTTAAAGCTCAACAAAAGGCTCTTGGCTTTACCACCACGGCCGCCATCCGGGGCCCACCTGGCAGGGCACAGCCCGTCCCCTGGCGTCCCCGCTTCCCCCACCAGAGTCTGCGCCGCGGGAGGCCCTGCCTGGGTGGGGACCAGCTCCCCCTTCCATCCCGGGGGTGGCACCCGAGGGACAGAGGCAAGGAGACGCCCCTGGCCCCTGTCCGAGCCACCTGAGGCCTCTGCCCTCAGCAGTTCTGCAGACACGAGCCAGGCCAAGCCCCCTGCGGCCCGAGGCCTGTGGAAAAGGCCACCTCAGCGCACCCTTAAGAACCTGTTACCAGCGACGTTCCACAGCCGTCCCCAGTCCTGACTCAGCCACCCACTCTGGGGACACAGCTCAAATGACACTAGCAGGTGTCACAACCCCGTGGGCGGGTCCCACAGACAGCCCCGTGAGGCAGCCGCGCCGCCTCCTGCCCCAGTGCCCGGCTGCCGGTGGGAGCCAGGCTCTCACTGCATGGCGCACACACACAAGGCTCCGGCCCCTGGGTTCTCGGGGTGGCATTCTGCCCTCGCCCCTGGCAGGAGGTCCGTGACGTTTGCAGAGGCCGCAGCACCCGAGGTGAGGGCGGGCGCCCCTGCTAGCAGGGCCGGCTGTGGGGACACGGGCCTGGGCCCTGGCAGAGGACCTGACAGAGGGAGACAACGGCCTCCGAGGAGAAACGTGGGACCAGAGCCACGGAGCCTGCGGTGTGTCCCCCAACGTGATTGCAGGGAGTGGGAGGAGGTGGCGGGAGGCGGCCGCGGAGGGCCCACCTGGGTCATGGTGAGAGGGGCAGGGAGGCCTGCGGCTCTGGGGGGCCGGACACCCACCAACGTGAGGAAAAGGGGAAGGACTCCTCACTCCCATTCTTATCAAGCATGCATTTCTAAATTTAAGAGCACAGGAAACCTGGCTGGGGTAGCTCAGTGGTTACACAACAACCTAGGAACCAGGAGGTCATGGTTCGATTCCGGTCAGGGCACATGCCCGGGTTGCGGCTCTATTCCCAGTAGGGGGTGTGCAGGAGGCAGCCCAACAATGATTCCATCTCATCATTGATATTTCCATCTCTCTCCCTCTCTGAAATCAATAAAAATATATTTTAAAAGAATAAAGAGCACAGGAAAATTACCTTGGACTCACAAGGGTTTTAACGAGAGATGGTGCATGTTTGACTGGCGCAGCCACACACACACCCCGCATGCCTCTCTGGGAGGTGCCTGCCCTGCATCTGGGGCCCATCAGAACCCCGCAGCCCAGGAGCTGGGCAGTCTCAGACGCAGACCCGTGGTCTGGTTGGGAAATTTCTTCAAAATCGTGTAAAGAGCCCTGCGGGTTTGGCTCAGTGGACAGAGCACTGGCCAGCAGACTGAAGGTCCTGGGTTTGATTCCTGGATTGCAGGTTCCATTCCCAGCCCTGGTCAGGAGGCAGCCAATCGATGTTTTCTCTCTCTCTCTCTCTCTCTCTCTCTCTCTCTCTCTCTCTCGCCCCTCCCCCTTGCTTCCCTCTCTCTAAAAATCAATGAAAGAAATTTCCTCAGGTGAGGATTAATTTAAAAGATGGTTTTAATTGTGTAAGGAAATGGATGTGTGATGGGAACGGTCCTCCTCTGATTCCAACAGGCCAGACCTGCAACCACATTTGGGTCAAAGGATTCAAATCCAGGGGAGCACAGCAAACAAGCTGGTGATGGGCACCGGCTCCGCCACAACGGGTGGGGGGAGGGTTGGCCTCCGGGCTCGAGGCATGTGGACACTCAGATCCCGCCACCACCTCCCATGCCCCTCGGCCTCGCACCTCACCCAGCCTGGCCCTGCAGCTCCACCCACAGCCCCAACCAGCAGTGACGCTGGCAGGAAAGTCCTTCCTGACGCGGAGTCTGGACTGGAAGGAAGCACTGTGCAGACGAGTGAGGGCAGGCCCTCAGGTTCCTTGTAAAACAATTCCTCTGCTACTTCCTGAAAATGCTCAATGTTTACATTAATTTAAAACAAAACAAAGCAATAAGACGTGGGCCGCCCTGCCAGCGATTTCGAGGGGACACGTGGGGGGGCCTGGGAAAGAGTAGCTGTGAGCCTCACAGAGAAGCGCAGGCGAGCAAGTCGGTTTCACTGCAAGACAAGCTCCCCGCCTCCCGCAGACCTGCCCCACCCCAGCCCAAGCCTTTAGCCCGCAGCCAGGGCGCGTCTGCAGGGCCCAGTGCAGAGTTAAGGGCCATCCTGGCCAGTGGCTCAGTCGGTGGCTCAGTCGTTGGAGTGTCGTCCCAGGTTGTGGGTTTGATTCCCAGTTGGGGTGCGTGTAGGAGGCAACCAGTCAACATTTCTCTCACTCGCTTTCTCCCTTCCTCTCTCTAAACATAAATTTAAAAGTTTTTAACAAGAGTTAAGGGTGGAGGCCCCTCGTTCCTGAGTGTTCCCTGTGCAGGAATTCTGATGTCCTTCCCAGTGGCCGCACCTGCGGGAGCGCGACTCACGCAAAAGCCGGACCCCTCAGTCTCCTGGCCACTTGCTGGTTCTTGGGCTGTGCAAGGACACACGGGCGTGACGTCAGAAATGAGCCGGCAAGCTTTACGGGTTAGAGTGGAAGATAATGCACGTTAAGAAGCCAAATGCGCCTTCACTGGTTTGGCTCAGTGGATAGCAGCGGTTCTCAACCTGTGGGTCACGACCCCTTTGTAGGTCAAACAACCCTTTCACAGGGGTCGCCTAAGACCATCGGAAAACCCATATATAATTACATATTGTTTTTGTGGTTAATCACTATGCTTTAATGATGTTCAATTTGTAACAATGAAATTGGGGGTCACCACAACATGAGGAACTGTATTAAAGGGTCGCAGCATTAGGAAGGTTGAGAACCACTGGGATAGAGCGTCGGTCCCAGGTTTGATTCCGGTCGAGGGCACATGCCCAGCTTGCAGGCTCAAACCCCAGTGTGGGGTGTGCAGGATGCAGATGATCGATAATTCTCTCTCATCATGGATGTTTCTCTCTCATTCTCTCTCCCCCTCTCCCTTCCTCTCTGAAATCAATAAAAATATTTAAAAAAAAAAAAAAAAAGCCAAATGCCAGCAACTGAAGCCGCTTCCCTTCCCCCTGCTGCCCGTACCAAGGCCTGGTGGCCCAGAGCCAGGGCTAAAGTCACCCCACCGACCGCCAGGCCCCTTCGTGCATCCTGCGCCCATGCATGAGCTGCGACTGTGGGGCCTGTCACTTCAGCACTGAGTTCATTAGTTTTCATCTAAATGAGCCGCTTGCAAAAGCTGCCACTGCCTCCAGGTGGCGCTGTCCTCCAGCCCCAGGGCACCTATGTCCCGGTAACCAGGCTCCTTCCATGTGCTTCTTTTAAAGGAAAATTACTCAGGACTTGGAATATGGCGGGACGATGACCAGGAGATGCCGCAAGGCCCGGAGCCACAAGGCCAGCTTAGTGAGGGGCCAGCATGAAGGGGGCCCATGGCCACAGGAGGGGGGCCAGCCGTGGACGCTGCGGAGGGAGCAGCTGCCCAGGCAGCAGCGGCTCAGATTTCCTCGCTGCCCCTTCTTGCATCCTCCTCCAGGGCACTTCCGCCCTCCATGACGCGAGCTCGCTGCATGTTTGTGGGAGAATCATGCCTTTAATTCCATGTGACGCCACTCAGTCTTCTCAAGGTCTCATAAATTGATTTTTAAAAAGGAAACAACAAATGTTTGACTCCAACATTCAGAAATGCTCCCAGTAAGGCTGGGTTCCCACAGAGCCCAGGGGGCTCCGGCCAAGGCAGGCGCCACCCCCGCAGCCACAGAGAGGACTCGTGACGGCGCTCACAATGAGGTGTCCCCACTCCATCGCGGGACCGATAGGGACCCAGTGGTAGAAACTGACAAAGGCATGTGGTTTCAGAGAGAATGACTCCGTGTCCTCTGCTAATGCTGGCGTTCCCGGGTTCTCCGGCACGTTCCCCGGTTCTCCGGGGGGGGGGGGGGGGCTGTCCCAGGTTCCGGGGGTCTTTCCCAGGTTCCAGGAGGTCTGTCTGCCTTCCACTCCACAGGCACATCTGGGACACAGGGCCTGGTGCTGAGCTCAGATGCGGCTCCGGCCAACCAGTGGGCAGTAGCCCTGTCCTGGGAGACTGCCCGGACCACACCCCTCCCTCCCAGGAACTGAGACATCTGACCCAGGGGGCTGAGGTGTCCCTCCAATCAGACAATGCACCCATTAAATCACTGTCCAGCAACGCTCGTCCAGGGAAGTGGAGCCTGCAGCCCCGCCCTGGCCGAGGCCCCCGGGCGTCAGGGCCCCTTCCCTCGCCGCCAGACCCCGCACCTCCAGGAGGGGGCAGGGAATCCTGGCGAATGTCCATTCAAGGCCAACGGGTCCTTCCTGGTCACTCGGCTCTTCCAACTGCCCCTTTCCGTTACCCAGAGAGGCTCCTCCCCAGCGGCCAGCGGCGTTGTTGGCATGGCCGGTCCCAGGGGTGGGGCTCCATGCAGGGGGGTGGGGGGCGCGGATGGGACACTTGTTTCTGCCTGAACAGACACCCAGAAGGACTCCAGGGACAGATTTCGATAGAAAGCTCTGGGAGATGAACTTATTTCTGAGATAACAGCTTGGCCCTAGGTCCACGGAGTTAACCTCATGCCGCTGTGGGACACAGAGGACCAAGGGTGAGCCTTTTCCTCCCACCCAGCCTGCAGCTCCAGGGGCCAAACCGGCAAGGATGGCTGCACCCTCAGAGACCCCCAGAACGTGGAACAGCCCGCCCGGGACCTGCGACAGACCTCCTGGAACCTGGGAAAGACCCCCCGGAACCTGGGACAGCCCCCCGCTCGGACCTGGGACAGCCCCCCAGAACCTGAGACAGCCCCCCCGAACCTGAGCCAGACCCCGCTCCTGGAACCTGAGCCAGACCCCTCGGAACCTGAGCCAGACCCCCGGAACTTGGGACAGACCCCCCAGAATATGAGACAGACCACAGGCCTGGGAGCAGGAAAGGGCAGCACCAGGAGGCCGCTGAGGCCCCCAGGTCCCCAGGAAGCAGCGTGGCTTGGCACCACCCAACCTGACAGAGCCTCCGGGCGGCCTGTGTTACTTTGTATTTAAACAAAAACGGGGCAGGTAGGCTGAGACAGCACTGCCTGGGGGTCAGTCCATCCAAATCCCGAGACCTCAGTTACAAAAGGAGCACTTAGGGTAAAAGCAGCACCTGGTGACTGTGGCATCGGCATCTGTGCCGAGACAACACACTTCATACAGAAGGTGGCACCCCGTTTTAATTGTGGGGTTTCCGGAAGGCGCCTCCCCTACCTGCCAGGTCAGCTGACCAGCCGCACCTGCCCACCCTGCCCATCAGGTGAGGACACAGCACAGCAGTGACTTCTGTCCTCGCTGGCCTTGGGCAGGACGGGGCGCGTCCTTGGGGGGGCGCTCTGCCTCAGTTTCCCTCCGCACACCTGCTGAGAAGGCGGAGGGGTCCCAGTGGCTGGCGGCCCGATGGCGGCCCGGGTCGTCCTCGTCCTCGTGCTTGGGTGGTGGAGTGGGCCTGTGCGACCTCAGAGGGCGGGCGCTGGTGCTGGCGGGCTGCTCGGGCAGCGCGTGCTGGCCTCGGAGCCGGCAGGCCTCCTGGAAGGCGTCCTCGTCGGCCACACCTGCAAGGACAGACAGGGTCGCGTGAGCGGGCACCGTAGGTGCCACCCTCGCTCAGAGCAGGAAGGCTGCCCACTCCTCAGGTGCACAGTGGGGGCTGCATGTCACTCTGAGGGAACGGCCATGGGAACGCCCACTGTCCCCAAGGCCCAGGGACTCAGGGCACCTGCTAGAATCCGTCCTTAGACTCAGCCCAGCGGCCCAGGTCCCGCCTCCGACTCACTCTCTGCATGCTGACTCCAGGACCTGCGCCCAGTCCCTGCCCGCCCCCAATGCTGCAACTGGCCACAGTGGAGGCGCCTGGAGGCCTGTCCCAGTCCCACCCACATCCACCTGCGAAAACCCACAGCACTGGCGTCAGTTACGCTGGATGCACGCCCACTCGGGACAGCCCCCCCACCCGCGCCCAGAGCTGTATTCCTCTGGGCTTTTAAGCTGTGGAGGCCAGAGGCTGTGGCAAGCAGTTTTGATGAAGTCACGCACCCTGGTAAGAACTGCTGGCTCCAGAAGGCCCTGAGGTACAAGGTGTTAGGACAGACCGGAGGCCTGAGGCCTGGGCAGTTAGAGCTGCTGCCGTGGTGCTGGTGGCTGAGCACCTGAGCCCCGGGCAGTGCTGGGAGGCTGGTGGCCAGACCTTGGGGCCTGAGCTGGGAGGACAGCCCGATCAATCCTGGCCGCGGGGCCCGGCACGTCCTCCACAGCAGGACTGGCCAAGGGGCCGCGCCCTCCCACCCCAGGCACAGCTTTCTGGGAAATGCTGGGATCTCAGGGGCCTGCCTTCTGGGTTTGCATTTTAGAGGATTTCCACTAAGTGTCCAGTTCCGTTTATTAAACCCCCAACCTGCACAGCCCTGGGGGCGGCTGCAACCCACAAATACGCACATGGGCTTTACAGCTGGGATCCAGCTCGCGGGACACGCCCTCGGTGCCCACCCTCACCCCTGCACCCGTCACATCACCACCTGTTTCCCCAAGCAGCTCCTGCAGCTCACAGCTGCCCCACCACCACCCCCCTCCACCAGGCTCCTGTCAGATTCCTTGCGGGTGAACTGGGCGGTCGGCTGGTGTCAGACAGCCCTCCCCTCGAGGACCCGCGTACCCACAAGAAGGGTGTCAAGACCCCCGCCCCCAACACTGGCTGCTCACTGAGGCAAGCAAGCAGCACCAACTGCCCAGGCCTCACGCTCAGGCCGAGACCCAAGTGCGCTCTGTGGGCTCCTCTCCACGGGCGCTGAGCTCCTGGTGCTCACACGGAAGCACTTGGACCAGCCCCTGGGAGTGGGTGAAGAATCAGTGATGCAGTGGCTTCAACAGCCTCACCCGAGTGGAAGACGAGGCGCTGGTGGGGACACAGTGGCCAAGGCACCCTGGCTGTGTCCTGTGCTCAGGGCCCATCACTGTGCCGTCCAAGGCAGGCAGGCACCAGGAGAAACTTACACACACCCTGACCCAGGTCACACCCTGGGGACAGACAGCGGGCGCCCCACGTGGCAGCCGAGGGTCAGGCCCCCTGCCTGCCTGAGACCCTCACGACGGGTCACCCCCACCATCGTCACAAGTGTCCCTGCCCACCCGAGGGTAACATCATGTCAGGTCTGAGTCTGCCCCATGAGGCTGAGCCTGGGCTGCACAGGTGGGGGGAGGGGAGGGGGGGTGCGCGTGGCGGACCCCCGGAGCGTGTCCAGTCCCACTTACCTCGCCAGCAGGGTTCCGCTCCTCAGGGGGACTCAGGACCCAGTCCACCCTGCAGCCCTCAGTCCCAGGAAGGGAAAGCGGTGGTGGCACTGCCGCACACCGCGGCAGAAGCCCATGTCCAGAGCACTCATCACCGTGTCCGGGGCAGCACATGGGCGGGATCGGGCAGGGCCAGGACACGTGCCCCTCTCGGACCCAGTGCCCAGGCAGGAGGGCCAGGATGCGTGCCCCCCCCCCTCGGACCCAGTGCCCAGGCAGGAGGGCCAGGACATGTGCCCCCCCCCCTCGGACCCAGTGCCCAGGCAGGAGGGCCAGGACATGTGCCGCCCCCCTCGGACCCAGTGCCCAGGCAGGAGGGCCAGGACATGTGCCGCCCCCCTCGGACCCAGTGCCCAGGCAGGAGGACCAGGACGTGTGCCCCCCACCCCTGCGGACCCAGTGCCCAGGCAGGAGGGCCAGGACGCATGCCCGCCTCCCCCGGACCCAGTGCCCAGGCAGGAGGGCCAGGACGCGTGCCCCCCCCCCCCGACCCAGTGCCCAGGCAGGAGGGCCAGGACGCGTGCCCCCCCCCCCCCCTCGGACCCAGTGCCCAGGCAGGAACCACAGGGCAACTGCATCAGCCAGGTCCTCCCCCTGTCTGGATGAGACACACTCACTGGGTCGGTGGTGACACCACCTATCGCCTTGCTCAGCCGCCTACCACGTGGGCTGGGACACTTCCAGGGCCACTTGGTATGTGTCTGCTGTTTGGAAAAGTCACTAAGATTTTCAGCTTGATGTTCTGAGAACAAACACCTCAAATGCACAGAAACACCAGACCCTCTCTCCACGTTCCCAGGAGCCCGGCCTGGGGGCAGGGGCGGGACACTGGGAGGGGGTGGGGGATATGCACACAGCCCTTCCCAGCAGCCTGCAGATCCTTGCAGAGTCCCTCACCCCTGTACCTAGGCCCTGCCCCCACCCCACCTCCTCGCAGCCTGCCCAGCGTGTGGCCCTCCTGCATGTCCTAGGGTCAGTTGGAGCCTGCAGCCGGGCTGAGCTGGGCCTGGGGGCCCAGCCTCCACATGAACCACAGGAACGGGTGGGACACACCACTGAGCCCAGTCTCCTGCGAGTCCGACGGACTTACCTGCATGGTCAACCTGGAGGACATGTGACCTCTGAGCGCCCACCCCTCCCAGCCATGCTATGGGGTCCAGGGTCCAGGGTCTGGAGCAGGGCCCACAAGGTCCTTATGAAATGCTAGTGTCTCAAGTACCAGGAAAAACCACTTGAAGGCAGGAAATAGCAGTGGAGAGTGAGAAGCAAAGACTACTCATTTCTCCGCTCACCCCCAAGTTCTCACTGGGCCCCTGCTCGAGGCCACACGGAACCCCAAGCCCCCTTCATCCCTGTGTGCACATTACTAGGCCACCACCCTCAGAGCAATATTGAGCTGTAGGTGACACATTCACACCATTTGAGTTTGAGGAAAGGGGTCTTAAAAAGGACAATCCTGCCTTGGCCGGCATGGCTCAGTGGTTGTACATCCACTGCCCACTCCCGCCTGCAAACCCACGAGTCACGGTTCGATCACAGCCAGGGCACATGAGCAGGTTGTGGGCTGGTCCCAGCGGAGGGCATGCAAGGGGCAGCCGACCAATGATTCTCTCATCATTGATGTTTCTCTCTCTCCCTCTTCCTTGCTCTCTGAAGTCAATAAAAAAGAAATTTAATAAGGATAATCCTGACAATGCCCACTGTCTCCATCCTCCAGGCGCCGTGTTCTGCCCCAGCTGCTAACAGAGACGCCCGTCGGGCCTTTCGATAACAGGTGTGGTCAGAGCAGAGGCTGCTCCCCCTCCGGGCCCCCAGTGCTCATCTGTCCCCGGTGACGGGGGTGTCAGCACAGGCGGAACCCTGCCCACCGCCCACTCCTGCACGGTGGGAGGCGCTGACTGCTGGACGTTGCACCGGGGGGATCGTTCGTGCACAGCAAGGCCCACATGAAACACAGGCCTCCCATGGCCACGCCTCGGTGGCAGTGTGTGCGGGGGGGGGGGGGGGGGCGCCCCAAGACGCACTGGACTCTCCAACATCCTCCTCGGACTGCACATTGTGCGCTCTGTCATGTGCACTGGCTCAGGGGCCCCCTTCTGTCCCTGTGAGCCGACCCGCCACCCTCCAAGCACAACCCTTGTGGCCTCCCACCCACATGCCCCTCGCCTGTGTGCCCCTCACCCGACAGGCTTGCAGGGTCTAAGGAATCTGCTCCACTTGGAGGCAGGTTTCTGCTTCGGTTCCGAGGACACAGCCTGTCTTTTTGTGGTGGGGATGCCCCAAAATCACAAGGGGGCCCAGGAGCTGGTATTTGACAAGCAACCATGCGGTTGTCCCAGCCCTGCTGGCTCAGGTGGTGTGACGGAAGCTTCCAGAACAGGGCCTGAGTTGGATCCTCCCTTTGCTTGTATTCCTTTGCCCCCTCCAACCCAGCATGCAGCAAAGCCCTCATAAATTTAGGACGCATCTACTTTTCAACTGCACGCTGGGACTCTAGGGTGAGTGACAGACACGCAGGCCACGGAGGGGGGAGGGGGGCACACATCCCTTTCAGGACACAGGGTCCCTCAAGAAGACGAGGTGGGTCCTGACTTCAGAGCACACAGCGAGGACCAGGCCTGCACCAGGTGCCAGGGGCGGACTCCGAGCTGAGCGCTCACTCCACGTATGACAGGCACCTATGCACCTGCACGAGAGACAGGAGGCTCCCAGGGGCAAAGCCCTGCCCGAAGGGGGACAGCTCTGAACCAGACATACCTGCCCCCCCCCCCCCCCAAAGAAAGTATCTGTTCACCAGCAGCCCGGGCCTGCAGGGCAATGCCACGCCCACTTTAGACCTGAAAACACTTTGTTGTTGTTAATCCTCCCCTGAGGATCTCTTTTCATTGATATTTTTTTAAAAGAGAGAGTTGAAAGGGGGGGAGGGGGGGCATCAATAGGAGATGATTTGTTGTCTCCTGCAGGAACTCCATTGAGGGCCTAGAATCCAACCTGCAACCCAGGTACCTGCCCTTAACAGGGAACCAAGCCCCTCCGCAGTGTGTGGGCAACGCTCTATCCAAGGGCACACTGCCCCAGGGCCTGTAAGAAATGTAACACCTTCACGAGGGAACCCAGAACATCCAAGGGCATTTTCTCATTAGAAGCTCCTTGCTATCAACCTTACAACCTGTCTTTCAAGTTAAATGCAGTGGACATGCAGCAAAGCAGATATGGGGGGGGGCCAGCGGTGGGCACCCCAGCCCCAAAATCACCCAGGAGGATATAA